AGGGGGCCTATGAAAGCAGATACCTACACTTTGTTCTGGGGTACGGACTATAGTACAAATGTTCCTCATTGCCAGTGGGGGCAATACGTCGGGGAACCTGTGTTTTAGATCATGGAAGCCTTGAAGATGGGAAAAGTGTCTCTGAGCTCCATAATGTAATTCACTGTGTCTGGCAAAATTCCGGACCTTAATTACTGTCAGTAAATGGTTTACTTATTGTGTCCGCCAACATTTCTTCTCTCTCTACCCAAGCATGGCGACCTCTCCTGGTCAATTAACTCAGAGGCATGCGCTTCTCTGCACTTTCAGACTATCTAGCACATATCACCTTGTTGAGGTCCGTGGTTCGTTTGTTTGTCCATTCGCTCATTCACGCCCACTCTCAGTCACACACCAGCATCCATGAAGGCTCTAGGAATGCCAGCTTTACATTCTGAGCGCAGGGCACCCCTCACCTTCCTTGCTCCTCCTCACGGGGCCTGATGCTCTTCTTCACACACCCAACATCTATACTCCATTTGATGGCTTCACTCAAATTGTCTTGGCTAACTCTTAAAGAGCCATGCCAAATGTGGGAATGAAGGTACTGTGGGCCAACACATGAGGCTCAAACTCCAGTGAGAGGCCACCACCAGGGTACCAAGCCCTGAGCTCTTTGATGAATGCTGGAAATTAAGGGTCAGATGAGGGCTGAAGTCATGCATTGAGAAGGGTCTTCCCCAGCATCCTCTGTACTTGCAGTGGGGCAAGCGCAGAGCCAGGCATCTGCTGCCACCAGCATTCTCCACCATGTGGGCTAGAGTGCCCTTCCAATGGCCTCTGGTCCACTCCATTTCAGGGGCCAGAGGAAATTGGAATGGGTTTTTCTTCTGTTAAGACAGGCAGCAGGTTAAAACTTGGGACAAATAGCAGGCAGTGGTAAGGTGGAGAGAGTGCTCTGCAGTGTCTGATGTTGTGCAACAAAACACACTCAGAATCCAATAGTCATAAGGTTCAGCTGGCCTTTCTTCTACCTCTAGCTAGTGAGCAGGCAAGGCAGTATCTACAGGGAATTGGGATGGGTGCTAAGTCAAGCTATCTCAGTTCCAGATGGTTCTCTGACTCCAGTATCTGGAATGCTCCAGGGTCAAGAGCAGGGAATGAAGGAAGGGCGTGACTCACCAGCATTGTCTTGCTGCTTCGTGTTTTTGATGTATGCGGAGAACTTGGAGAAGATGTCGATGCCGGCAGTGTTGGACCCCCGGTGTTTCGCAGCCAGCTTAGGGTACCTGAAATGGAAGCCGTGAGAATCTGAGTGCTGGGAGCTCCTTTCAGAGAGAGCCTGTTCTCATTCCCATCACCATGAGCCTCACTCTCCTTTCTGACTGGGGCTACAGACCCTTTATAGGTCCTTCCCCCAAGCCTCTGAGAAGAATAGGGACTCTCAGTCCTACTTCACCGATAGAGCCTGGTGGGGTGAATAGATCCATTGACCAGAATACCACTCAGAGGACCCAGAATGCAACTCCTTCCCAGAACCACCAGCATGTCAACCTCTGATATCAGGTAGGGACACTGACATTTCCCCAGCACGCGTTAGCATAACCATTCACTTCCAGGTCTGTGATGATGCTCTTAGTTGCACAGAGCTAATTCTGAGAGCAAGGCGATGGCAGGCACATGAGCACCGAAGCCTTAGACCATTTCTGGAAAGGAAGGACACCCCACACCTCTTTTCTCTGAAATACGCTACATACACTTCTCGTGCGTGTCGCCAAAGTTACTAGCCTTCATCAGCAGCGCATGTGTTTGCAATGCCTTAATTTTTATGCGTGGAAATACATTTGCAAGGATCTAGTTCTCCTCCCATGCAGTCTTTCATTTCCAAGCTAGAAGAATACCAGAGGCAGACTGGGGTGAGGATGGGTGTCTTTGACCTTCAGACTGAACAAGTTCAACTGTCTTCTGGGAGAATCCATAGCTTTGACCCCATGAACACCATCAAACTGGGAAATTCAATTTTTAAAAACAAGATTTCACAAACACTTCACATGTATGGCCAGTCAGGGGTCAAAAGAAGTGGAGGATATTTGCCTTATTACCATTATTATCAATTAATGTGGGCCTTTGTGATTGCTGGGGGTAATTGTCTCCTATGAGCTGGTTGGTCACTCTATGTTTAAAAGCCAAAAGATATCTTTTGTTTGTTTCCTGTCTTAATGTGAAATAAGCAAAGTCATTCCTAACATTGGTTGTTCTTTCCTTTTTCATGTTCCTCCACAGACCAGCGGGGCTATTTGATTTCCCAGTGGCCATGGATATGACCTTCAGACAGTCCTTGAACCCAGCACTCTTCTGTCAGACAGGTGAGAGAGGACTGTTTTCCTCATTTGTCAGAAAAGGTCACTGGAGACCAGAGGTGAAAACGCTGTTATAAGGGTTCATGGCAAAAACATTATGGAGGGAAAACTAGAACTTGGCTCCCACCCTCTGGACTTGTGGTCACTCCACTCTACCACACCACTTCTCTGACCACAGTAAAAACACACCTGCGCTGAATTCAGACCACATGCCAGGCACTCTACCTCCTTCTTTTCCTGTACTAATTGCATAAGCCTTCCAACAATCCTATTGGCTACATGAATAGCCTCACTTCCTAGGTCAGAGAGGTGAGTCCATTTGTCACACAGCTAGTTGATGGAGTCGAGATGAGATTCCAACCCAGCTCTTAAATTCTATTTTCTGCAGACTCTCATGGATTCTGCTGTTTCTCTTATGTCTTATTTAGATCATTCTGCTACTGTGAAATAAGCATTAGACTGTTAATCTCAGGGTCAGCAGTTCAAATCCACCGGGCACTCCTGGAGAGAAAGATACAAATATCTACTCCTGTAAAGATTTACAACCTGGGAAACCCTACATAGGGTCACTGTAAGTTGGAATTGACTAGACTAGATGGCAGTGGGTGTGGTCATAACAAATGTACCAAGGTAGGTAAATTTAAAGAACAGACATTTATTTTCCCACAGGTCAGGAGGCTAGATGTCTGAATTCAGGGTATGGCTCTAGGGAGTGGTCCTTTCTTTACTAGTTTAACTTCTAGTAACCAGAAATACTTGGGAGTTCCTGGATTCGTAGCTGCATCTGTTATGTGCACCTAAGTTCATCTAACATCTTCCCCCATGAGTACAGGTCTTTTTATAATTCGGAGTGATTCAATTTAGGACCCACCCTACTAGGGCATGAGCTTATTAACATACCAAAAGAAAACCCTTCTTTCCACACAGGGTCAGATTTATAGGTGTATAGGTTCATGGCTTCAGCACATACAGGGAGGGTGCACAATTCAATCTCCAACATCGTCAAAGCCTGAAAGCCCTTGAGGCTTGACTCAACACATGGATGCTCTCCCTCCACAAGCCAGAAAGGACCTGCTCACCACAGGTTCTGTGCAGACACACTGTGTGTGCCCAGGTACTCAGTTCATCTGCTGGGACGAGGGCATGAAGGAAGATTTCCTGCAGATGCTAGGGGATCTTCCAGGACATGCCTAATTTGGCCGACTCCTATAAAATCTGGCATGTTCTTAGAATTGTTTGCCGCCAATTATTATGAATATTGAGTTCTCTTTGTCTCTGCTTGACAGTGTAACTAGAGAAGGGCCTAGAAAAATCTCTCTCACTTAGAATCAGCAAACCACAGCTCATGGGCCAGCCCAGGCCATCGTCGCTTTGTGTCTGACCCAAGAGCTAAGAATAGCTTTTCAATTCTTAAATGTTTGGGGATAAAACCAAGAGAAGGATACTATTTTGTGATGTGTGAAAGCAATGTGCAATTCAAATGTCGCTGTTGATAAGATTCAGTGAACTAGGACCATGCTACTCATTTCTACTTGCTTCAGTGCTACCACAGCACCGCTGTCACAGAGACCACACGGCCAAAACTATGCACCGCCTTGCCCTTTAGGAAAAAAAGTTTGCTGATCCCTAATCTAACTGAAGATATTTTTCTCTATTTACAGTATTATTTTCTTTC